ACTACCAAGGCCTTTAATTTGCAATTCATTACAGGCGATGGGTGATTGCTGATAGCGCGGTTAGGCTGAAAACTACCTGAGCAGGGCCTCATTTGATGCGGTTAATAGTACATGAAACCGTCCAGAAGTGGTAATCACGGGATGGAATCTGTCCTGGGTTCGTTTTGCAAATATCTCAGCATCATCGTTGTTGTATTTCACATAATACCCTACCATAAAAAACAATGCGCGGTAAATAAAAATTAAGCGCTAAGTAATATAACTGACATCGACTAATTTCTCAGCTACCACACAGCAGTTCTCTTTGATGTCATTTCTCCATATTTATTCTCATGTATTCCGTCTTTTTATTCGTTTTTTTTCTCCCATTGTTGTACTCTCCTCGATGTCTACCCCTTATTTTTCAAAGTTTATTAGATATTTTATTTTTTATATTTATATTTTATATATTTTTATATTTATATTTTATATATATTTATATTACATTTATATTTATATTTTATTTTTCTATTTTTTAAAGATATTTTATACTATTTTTGCTCATAACACTTAGAGCACTGATAAATGCCTGAGGGATGTGCTACGTATTCGCCTCTATTAAGCTGCATGGAATGAATGAATCCATATTTTGCCTACACAGACTTGCGGTAGCTTGTCGAGGGGCCAAATTAGTACTTTTTTCCTCTCAGATAAGTTTGCCTTCTTTGCCTGGAGTTGAAGGAATAGCCACTTGCACTGCAAAACAGCTCTAATCATTGCGTTATACGAGCCCCATTTTTACCTATCTTCAATATAACGCTAAAGTTTTTCAAGCATTCAGTCGCCACTGTGGAAGGCGAATGTAGCTTAGCTACCCACTGTAATTGTTGGGAGTGAGCCACAGATGTAACCGATATTTGTGTACTCTCGCGTCGGTGTGATTGTGTGTACGTGGAATTTATTCTGCACATTGATTTGGCCAAACAATGCAATAAATTGAGTAGGTACACATTGGAGGCGGCTCAGCTTCGTCTTCAGCAAGTGCGCATGGTATCTATTTTGAGAAAGTCCAACAAGTACCCTTTGGCAATGCCTAGCTCATCAGAACATCCTCCATGAGCGGTGTCAACATTCTCACCAAAAACAATAGGAATAAAGGATGTTATGTTAAAGTGTGGCAGTATACTTCTCACTTGAGCGACTCCGCTGGACTGCTTTGACACACCTACGACAGGGACCATTGGAGACGTCAGTGCCACTCACCCTTGTTAGCGATAATTAAAAGAATTATCTATAGCCGGTGATTGTGAATGAGAGCTTTTGTTTTCACATATATCGGATAAATCTCTGCTGTTCAATGATTGTATTACCAAAAATATTGATTCATGTGTATGTGAGTCTACGCCGCCCTTTCCTTGAACAATATCCTTGATTGTATTGTTTCGGATGTGCCGTTGTTTGATCGATTCCCCATAAACAGAATTCACGTCGATTCTTTTCTGGGACACCTGAATTCAAATGCTGAGTTGTAGGAGGCTGAAAAACTCTAAAACCAGCACTTCAACTTTAGTATCACTGTCGATTCTATTGTTCACCATACCGTTGAGGTTGAATAGTACGAACATTTGTCCTTCGGGATGAAAAGAATAGCGAACTCCAAAGTCACAATGGCTACAAAATGAGTACTGCCGGTTCTCCTTTGTTCTCGTTCCTTCATGTCATACAGCGCCATTTTGTAGCTTTCTAGGACCAGTAATTTGTGAACATATTTGCAAGCTTTTTAAAAAAACACTATCCATTTTGTCGTGCCTTTTGACATTCTTGAAATTTCTCGAAAAATTCTTCATACTCTTTCATTGGTTTCCGATGTATGACGCAGAATTTTATTCTTTGCCTCTGTTGATTTCAGTGTTACATAATCTAGCTGACTTGGTGGATCCGTAGTAAATCGTTTTTGCTATAGATTCGGCTCTTTTCTAATTTTCTACTAACAGTCAAGGTTAGTGTGCGTTTGGCGCAGTGCTTAGAGGTACCTAAAATACCTTGCCCTTCTCACGATTCCTAGCTTCCGGTTAATCAAGTCTCCCATCTCTCCGATGGCTTAAAAATTGGTACTAGAGTTGTGTGCGAGTATAAAAGCACTGACATAATGCATCTGTACTTCACCATATATCATTTCCTAAGCCAAATAGGCTTTTAATAACCTCAAATGATGATTAATCAAGTTCATGGCGCATCGCGAAGAGATTGATCAACGTCGATTGTTTTATCCCTTTATTTTATTATCTTCTTCATGTGCATATTTATGTTTATATGTCCCTTCAGTGCTTTCCAGCCTCATTTTGGCTGTATGGTGTTCCTAGGTGCCGAACTACACTGGGCAACGGTAGCTCATTTCACCCCTGGAGTCTCACAATCTGCGAACTCATTCGATACCTCCACTCAGATTGGATAAAAGGTGTACTCAGAATGAGGATAAATACTCCGGCTAGTTGACCGCGGAAGAATGAAGTTCGCCGCAGTCCTTTTTAGTTGTCTTATTAACTGGACTACAGACGGACAGACGAACAACTAGAGAGATATTCACCATAGCCAATAAAAGTGCATTTGTTGCTAACATGTGTGCTTATGATCCGGAAATGCAATGGTAGTGATCCCGTTCGCTACGCTGACGGCCCAACCTACTCACATTCTGGAAACAGTCGACTTCCTCCGGTCCACGTGGGAACGCTATTGACTTGCTTATCACAGGACTCCAGAGAGAATCATTTCGCGCAGTATTCAAGCAGATTTATAACAAACACAGAAAAAACTTCAATCAGCAGCCGGATCCAAAGACCAGATATTGGAAGACGTGGATCTAAGTAGACGAATAGGAAACGAAAACGAGACGAATAGTAAGATCGAATCGATAGATCAGTGAAAGAGAACCTCATACCTTGCCGTTTGATTCATGTCACTTCGATGTTCATTAGATGTGACCATAAACCTTATTCGCACCACTCCTAGGTCACTGTAGCTTTCTATGGATCGTTGTTCCTTCTTTCCTCCTGCATTTAACAATGACCTGTTGTCTGCCGGAGATTTTATGTATGAAAACGAGTGTAGCTTTGTTTATTATTTTCTTCAAGCCAACTTCGTTCTTTCGTGTTTTCTTGCCAATCACGTGACAGCGTTTTTTAAACTAAGCCATAAAAAGAAGAGCTAATTGTGCTCGCATTTCAGATTAATGCTTTGTTCATGTTTTGGATGAAGCATGGAATGCCCCAACGATACGCCACTATTCGATCTAAGCAAAAATGCTACCATTAACTTCCTTAACACATTGGCAAATTTCCAAAGGTTAGACTGAATCGTTTCTCTTTTTTTCAGTCTTTGTAAACGCGCATTCAATTGCTTAGGCCTTCCATCACTTTTTCTTCGGGAAAAATTAGCATTTTCAAATCTAAACCAGTGCATACTGTGTGAAAAGGCCGATGTGCATTGTGGCGAACCAACATGGACACAAGTTACGTACACCAAAATCCATGACGCAATATCATGCCGATCATCGAGACGCTAAAATAGACAGTTTTTTTTCTGGAGATTTTTTAGACTAGTGAGGTTAGTAGTCTGAGCGTTTCTCTTAGCTACTCAGTGTCGTTTACTTCGTCTTTTACTTTTTCATAGGTAATCCTTAATACTTACTTGGATGCTTGGATGGCCCGTTCTCACGAGTTGTGCGGACCATAGCATATTTGCCATTTGTTTCTTTCCCTCGCAATCGTCGTCCATGGTAGCGGCTTTGTTCGAGCATGGTAGTGCGCAGTGGTAATCCTTAATACCTTCAGAAATCGCATGCATTTCCAGTGTCATTTTAGTATGCTGATATTTTTAAAAAACAACATATATACCATATCTTGGAATGCAGGCTAGGTCAGCATAGCGAACTAAGTATAAAAGGCTAGTATAACGGAATAGAAAAGGACTCGGGCCACACGCGTCCTTAGGAAAAGGCTACTAAGAAAAAAAAGAATTGGAATTGGAATGAGACTAAAGACGATTGGATGCGATATCCTGACAATACGTCTCGTAACATTGCAATCGCATTGACTATTGACGTATGTTTCCGTCATAGAAAACCTCAACACTCAAAGAAAGCGAGAGGAGAGTTTAGGGTATGTAGACACATTTATGGCAATGCGAGTGCTTCGTTTAGTTCTTACAAAAATGAAGTTTGAAGTTACACTTTATAGAGATATCTTCCATTCATCTAATTCACTTTTGTCCATGCTTGTTGATAGTGACGCATGTGTCATACTGGAAGTACAATCTCGCTCAAGTCAACAACAGACACGTCCGCTCGTTTGAAACGTGGTTTCCCATGAGAGCGCTTCGATTCTGAAATCCACCTCGTTGTTTTTCTTATCCATTTATTATCTATTATTTTGTTCTATGCTTCGGTCACTCTTCATTTATTTTGAATGCGCGGCACTTAGTCAAAAAACGAGCAAGTTGTCGAAGGTTTGAACCATAACGTCGGGATTTGGGTGACGTCTTGTCGTCTTCTCGAGGACATAATTAATACAGTGCTACTGATTTGGCACATAGGGAAAATTCCTTGTGGGCCACCACATTCGAATCTAAGTTCTAAACCCACAGAAGTGACGAATGTTAATTTGTTTTAGTCGATGAATGATGAGGACGTGGCAATTTTCAAAAACTTCTTTTTCGGTGCTGCCATTCAGCTGCCATAAGAATGGAGAAGGGCCTAGATTATTGAGCGAAAGGCGTCAAACTAGGAACCATGTTCGAGTGGATGGCACTGAATTTCGACTCCTCAATTTCCAAGATATGGGGTCCCTCAGAGTGTTAAGAGCACTTAAAGGGGGACTTTATTGAACTGAAAAAACGTGTTATTCTGGAAACGACGTGTTTAGAAGAGAATTTTTGAGAAGTATTAAAAATTATGCTACTTTCTAGGATTACGTTTTTAAGTTAGAAGCGAGAAAATTGATGTGTTGGGTCAATGAATATCATGATTGATTGTTTTTAGACTCTATGCACCGATTCACGGCATCGTTTGCGTTGGTTTGTGTGTTTTCGGAATTCTGACGAACATCGTGCACGTTATAGTGCTAACTCGACCAGCCATGCGAAACTCGGCCGTGAACTGTGTGCTGACGGCGGTAGCGATCTGCGACATCGGAACTATGGTGTCTTATCTCATATACATCGTCCACTTCGTCGTACAACGAAGAACTACTTGGTCAGCCACCATTTCCACTTATTTTATGACTAATCGTTGTAAATGTGGCCGGGTTAGGGGTTAGAATTTTCTGCAGTTCCTGAAGAACTGTGATGCAGATTCAGAACTATGCACGCTATAATAGTCACGATCAAACGAATTCGGTACAAGATTCTTAGAGATAATATATAATAAAAATATTGAATATTAAACACAATATAATGAAAATATAAAATTTATATTATGAAAAATAATATAAATTTTAACTACCTTAGAAATAGGCTTTTCGTGGCAATAAACTTACCGAGCAAAGAAGAAAGTCGTAGGCAATATTCTGAAATACAAGTGGAAGTTCAGTGCTGGGGGCAAACGCTCACTTTATTCAAAGCATTTCCAGGTGGATGCTGCATAACAAAAGCCCACATTTTAATACGAGTTTAGAAATCTCTATATAAATCGGCTATGTGCTTTGGAACCAGTAGGAATCAATAATGAGTTGTATAAAAGACGAACATTTTTGAACTTGAAAGTCCAAGTTCTACCAAAGAAAAAGGAACATATCAGGGCCGACGAGATTTCACGTCTCACTACTTTCCTTGCCAAATCGCTAAGCCCGTCTTTATAATATGGTCAAAAAAAAATCTCACCAAATCCTTTCCTACTCATGCATGATTCCATTTCGACAAATTCTTTTAACCCTAGTTGGTTATTTATTTCTTTGCAGACTTTTGCTTACAACTTATCAAAATTGGTGATATAACGAATGGCATTGCAGTAACTGCCACGACCGACTTTCTATTAACCTCGGCATTGATCAAGTGATTTCCTTCGTATTTTTGTTGAGCAAACGCGAGGTGTTACTATTCTTTGTTCACGATTAAGCTGACGTTTCGGCGGTTTTCGCCTTCTTCGCCTGTGTTCAAAGTGATTGAAATCTTGGTTTGGAGTTTCTTTGTTTGGTTATGGAGGCGTCTGGACGAGTGAGTTGCTATCAACTTGACCTTTCCAGGCTCTGAAAAAGGCGAAATCCGCCGAAACGTCAGCTTAATCGTGAACAAAGAATAGTAACACCTCGCGTTTGCTCAACAAAAATACGAAGAGAATGACATTGCTTCAGAGAAAGCCACACCATCAATTTTAGGTGAAATAGTGTAACTGAGAGAAAGGCAAAGCAGGGGCTTCACTGGTGCCGTATGGTATGAGAATCCGTAAAATGTATTCAGGGGTTCGAATATGGGGTTGGGTTCGGATTTTTGCAAATATCTCATCATCATTTTGATTTTATTTCACTTAATACCCAGCCATAAACAGACAGATGGTAGAAAGCGAGTGAAAAAATATAATTTAATTTTGCGGTTAAATTTCTTCTTCCTCTCTCAGATGTCATAAACCGCTAGGATTACCGTACATGCAGAATGCTGACTGTGACGTTATCTCCAAGCGTTTTTATGCGTTTGCTATTACTGCTGAAAAAAGGTTTTATGGGTTATCCGTTTGATAACAGATTAGAATCTTTCACAAGCGGTCGTTACCCATTCACATCAAATAGACGGGCTCACTATTAGGAACATACTGAGCGACAAAGCCATAGCTTTATTGTTTTTTGTTCAAATGCTGTCACGATCACCGATACTTAGTGGTAATTTGCTTCTATTTTACAGTACTCCAACGTTCACCTACGGTTGGATGCAATTCTTACTGTGGCACGTAGTGCTCAGTATCACTCTACATACGACATCGCTATGGCTGGCTGTGGCAATGGCGTTCATAAGACGAATGACATTACGGGTAACACGGTTAAATAGGTAGGTTTTGAACAAAAAACCTTGAACAGTAGGTGTTTTTATTCCTTAAACAAGAAGAACACAAGCGAACAGGGATTTCTTGTTGCTGTTTAGGACATTTTAGTCAGCCATGTGAAGAGAGAGAAAGCTAACTTGATCGAGTTGAGATTATTTCACGTATATTCTTTCAATGCTTGGTGGTTGCCTTTGCGGTGGTGACTGATGACAAGTTATGGAGAAGCCAGTGTTCTACTCAGCGAATATAAATTTTTCTCCCACACCTTGTAGCTATCAGGCTTTCACGAAAAACTGAATGGCGTCTATGGCCTGAGTAGAATTCAATCCACTACAAATGGCGTTATAGGTGCAACGTTTTCTTCCAAGAAAAGAGAAGAAAGACTTTTTTGAAAACCAATTTTCACATTTTTAAACGGCCTAATGGGTAACGTGGGAAATTTTTGTTTTATTCTTTTTTGCTTAATATTAGCACTATCGTGATTAGGGTGTTTTTTCGATAACTAAATTACTTGAGAATGTGGGAACTTGACAGACTTATAGAAAGAATTCATCCTTATCACTCTAAGGGTATATAATTTTTTAAAAATGGTTTATATAATGTCATTTCTTAGTCTATTTTACTCGGTGGCGCGTGTAGTGCAGTAGTCGGAGGCACCCTGCAATACACACATGGAATTTATCCGCGTGCCCAAGGCTCACCAAGCCTTCCATCTCGCCGGGGTCGGCATGTTGGCCCCAGACTTGTCTGGGAGGACAGCAGCACTGGCTCGACACATCTGTAGTCCACCGCGAGTCGTTGTAAAGGCCTCCAAACGATGCTTAATGAAGTCGAATGCATGGCGCATCTCTCAGAGATTGATGAACGCCGAGAGCTTTAAACTTTTTTATTTCCTTCGTGCTTGAAATAAGAGCGAGCTTCAGCTGAAAGAAATCACATTTATGGGCTTTAGAAAATTAAATTTTTAGCACATTAGAATAAACAGACTTGTTTTTTGTTGTTAAAAGGTATAGGCTCCTGTGGTCCATGCAGTGCGCTATATTCTGAGATATGCTTTTTAAAGTTGAAGACGAAAGTACTTTTGACTGTATCTGCATCGAATTCAATGCGTGTAGCCATAATTTCGGTGGCGGTTCACATAATAAGGTGCTCATTATTTAAAAATAGGAAGTGAAGGTACGCACATTTTGTGTCAAAGGTAGTCTGTTAGTGAGAGGAGAGAAAGTTTGTTCGCTATCAAAGTTCACTCTACTTTGAAGGAAAACAACGAAGAAATGGGAGTTCATATATTTTGATCTAATGAAAAAAATACAGAACTGAAAAATGTGTAATATAACTACCATAATGCTGAGATATTTGCAAAACTCCGGACCGCAGATGTCTGCGGTGGGGAACGAACGCGCTATTGTTCTTTCCTGGGAGTAACGCGTTTACCACCACATCATCCAGGTTCTTCGTTTCGCCTGTCTCTCAGCTAGTTCTATCGACCTTTTGCCATCAGCAATCACCCGTCAACAGAATTGACCGTCAACGGAACCGAATCATTGTAAAGGTCAGACATGCATTCAATTACGCCCGACGATGCTAAATGAAATCGAATGTGTGGAACATCCGTTAGAGATTGATCAACGCCGAAAGGTTTTTTATTTTTCATTTCCTTCTAACAGTTCTAGGAAATATATCCCACCCGTATTTCTGTGAAGTTGTACAAGTAGCAGGCGGCTATACATACGGAACACTTCCTACTTATTGAAGCAGTTGAGCGCGTTCATTTAAAACGGTTACCTATAGACGAGTTTAAATGATTCCGGCGGTCCAAAGGCCTCACACCCATGGTCTATTCTACTCAAGTAAAAATCGTAAGAACACACAATTTCCAATCTTCACCTTTTTATTTACTGCCTATTCTTTTTAACGGCAGGGTATTTTCCGAAATATAACTGCTATAATGCTGAGATATTTGCAAGACGTAATTGAATGCATGTCTGACCTTTACAATGGCCCATCGTTGTATTGAGCCAGTGCTGCTATCCCCCAAGGGGATTGATTTAACGTGTGTGTAACAGTACGCCCCCGACCACTTCGCCGCACGGGCCCTTGGAAAAAATTCGGTAGCTAAATAAGACTTTAGAAAATCTAAAACAATTGTGTCGAAACGTACTGCACGCTAATCCAAAAGAACATTTTGGAACTTTCATGCTCCTTATGCTTAATTTTCAGTAGTTGGCAACGTCCTCAGTTTGCCTGGAAGTTGTGCACGATGATCTATGTATGCGTTTTTGCGATGTCCATTCCCAGTGTGTTCGTTCATGAAATTTCCGTCTACGAAGCATCACGTTGGGAACCAGGAACCAGATGTGCCTCATTCTACCCGGCCAACTACACACAAACCATCTACACGTTTACGGTAACACTTAGAATGTATCCAAGCAGCTGACCAATATGAAGGAAGGAAGCAATATTATGTTAGAACCGGGAAAAATGAGAAAACGCATGAATCAAGAAAATGCCAGGGATCGTAGAACTAGGAAATACTGTGGCACTTGTGCGAAGTAGTCATTCTTTTTTCTGCCACGACCGACTTTCTATTAACCTCGGCATTGATCAAGTGATTTTCTTCGTATTTTTGTTGAGCAAACGCGAGGTGTTACTATTCTTTGTTCACGATTAAGCTGACGTTTCGGCGGATTTCGCCTTCTTCGCCTGTGTTCAAAGTGATTGAAATGTTGGTTTGGAGTTTATTTGTTTGGTTATGGAGGCGTCTGGACGAGTGAGTTGCTATCAACTTGACCTTTCCAGGCTCTGAAAAAGGCGAAATCCGCCGAAACGTCAGCTTAATCGTGAACAAAGAATAGTAACACCTCGCGTTTGCTCAACAAAAATACGAAGAAAAGTCTTTTTTCTCTTGATTCCCACTGGTTTGCTCTCTCTGGAGTCTTCTTTGCTGCATCTTTACATTCTTTGACCCGCTGCGATGTGAATAAAGGACATGAAACAAAGCAGCAATAAATGAAGACCTAACTCATATAGGAGGATTGAGAAAATAGCAATAAAATCTAATATTGTAATAGTTCCCAGGATCGACTTTCTATTAACCTCGGCATTGGAATATGAATGCGTCGTTTTCTTGTTCAGCAATCGCGAGGTTTTTAAACAGCATACATTTACTTCCATAAAAAACACAATATAATACAACGCTAGCTGACGTTTCAGCAGTATCGTCTTCTTCAGAGCCTGGAAGGGCATGCTGATATACAATCTACTAGGCCAAACGCTTCAATGACACTTACAAAAAGACGAAAGACTCTCCGGTAATTACATGGTATGCTGATATACAATCTACTAGGCCAAACGCTTCAATGACACTTACAAAAAGACGAAGAACTCTCCGGTAATTACATGACAACTTCTCGAAAAACCCACCGCTTTTTCGTGACTTCCAATGAGGAAGTTTAGAACAGCTGATTATAGTCGCATGTGGTTGGCAACTGCACCATCCCACATCAGAAATCGATGCGAACATACGGGATCAGGTCGCGTATGACCTCCGGGCATTCATCTCTGCTATTCATTGTAGGGTTTTTGGCATTTATCCAGAAAGCTTCAAGAAGTTTTCGCGCTGGTGTTTTGGGCTTTTGGACAAAGCGATAGAAAGTTTATCTTTAACCTTACAGCCGTACAAAAATGCGGCATGCGAGAAATTAGAGAGTTAATAAACTTGAAAACAATAAGATTGTCTGTTAGTGATAAGGGGAGAGAGTTCGTAGTTATCTCTCGCCAGCTGGATATTGAGATAACAGGGGAACATCTTAGTGATGCTACCCTCTATCGCCCATCCTCTGAAAAGGAATATAAAAGTCAATACCGAAAGCTAAACAATCAATGGGTCAGCGTGGTAAAGGCTGCGGGTTTAAAATCATCGGTTATTTCGCATTTTAAAATCGATAAACCAACATGTCCCGTCCTATACCTACTTATTAAAACACATAAGTTGGTATCACCTGATGATCGTGCGTCAACCAATCTGTCATCATTTAAGGTTAGACCCATCACGAGCTGCGTAGACGGACCAACGGATAGAATAACCTGGTTTTTAAGCCTAATACTTACCCAGTCGCTTAACCACATTCCAGCTCACCTCACAAGCACCCAAATGTTCCATGAACGTCTACGTAACGCGTCTCCCAATAACGCGTACGTGATGGAGTCTTTCGACGTTACCGCACTGTACACCAACATATCGAATGACTCCGCAATGCCATCTTCGAACTTCTTGTTGAACATGAAGGAAGAATAAATATGCATGGCTTGTCCATCCAGCAGCTAATGGCTCTCTT